TATATATATGTAACTATTTTAAATTATTAATAAAGATATAAGCAAGGCCTCATCTTAATACCAAAAAAAAAAAAAAAGTTAATTATAAAGAGATAAAGTACTGCCTAAAGTAAAAAAATAAGTAAATAGACTTACTAACAAGACTTCTATATAAAATAATAATAAATATCAGATTAAGAGTAGAGTAGAAAGAAACAACAGTAATCAAAAATATAGAACTAGTAACAGAAACAATGATCTATGATTGGACATATTTTTGAAGAAGACTGAAGTCATCTAAAGAAATATATTGTTTAATAAAAAGAAACAATGCAAGAAGAAGTATTTTTATAAAATATATATTAAACAAAATTTTAACTCTAGAAGAATTTAATAAAAAAAAACCAGATATATATTCAACAGTAGAATGTCAAGTCTGCCAAAACAAAGCTAAAGAAATGAAAAAGATTTAATATATTATAAGAGAAAACAAACTTATAAAAAGAATACAAAAATATCTATTGCAATAGTATAGAAAAGTTTAAAAAAAGAAGAAAAAATCTGAGTTCTACCTTATATATTATATATGACATTTTTTGGAAAAACAAAAAAAGATGAAATAGAAATAAGAAAAGCACTAATCAAAGGCCTAATTTTAAAAGTAACTTAAGACAGATTATCATAACTTTTAAGTACAAAAACAAAACAACAGTTTATAAGCATAATAACAGAAACAACAAGAAACACATTTTATTAACAAGTCTGAAAAATACACTGTAAAAAAAGTTAATATATGAGAAAAAGAAAAAAAAATAATGAGTAAAGTAAAGAAAGAAAAACAGAAGAAAAAAAAATATTTGAGCAAGAAGTAAAAGGCTAGTTAGAAATAAATAGAAGAAAAAAAGAAAAAAGTAAGAGAAAAAAGAGAATGAATTAAAGAAAAAGCTAGAAAGATAATTTGAAAATTTGTTATAAAAGGATGAAAACTTTTTCATTACAGACTTTAAGTAGTCAAATAAGCAGCTTACTTCTGCTAGAGGTAATATAACAGTTTGCACTTAGGTGCTATTAGAGTAGCCAGATGATGCTAGGCTTATTTGTTGATATGTTTATAAAAAAAATAAATAAAAATAAATAAAAATAAATAAAAATTTTGTAATTGATACTGAGTAAAATAAATAGATCAATGATTCAAACAAAATTTATCAAATTAGTTAAAATTAAAAATTTAAGTAGGCCCAAACTGGTTTAACATTAAGTAATAGTACTAACTAACTATGTATATTATGATAAAATTATTATCTGTCTTAGTAACTTATTTAGTAAAAGAATATAATTAAGCAGTATTAACCACATATTATATAATAAGTTATTTTAATCAGATCAAAATAGAACTATTCTACATGTTACATAATAGGTTAAAATAATCAGGTCAAAATAGAATTACCTATTTGATTATAGTTTTTTTAAATTAAAACAAATATTTATTAGATTAAATCAAATTTAATTATATTTAAATAAAGATGTTATTGGCTTTATTTGAAACAAGCTTCAGCCATGACTTAATACTAGAACCACTATCAAGCCAAATCATTAAAATCATAACTTGAATTAAAGAAATATAACTTTTAGTTTTGGCTTTTAGCCATAATCTAAACCAAGCTAATAAACTTTATTCAAGATTTTGAAGCCAGCTTCAAACATAGCCAATTTAAGTTCTGTAACTTCACAATAGCTTAAGCTATAGTCAGCAACGGCTCAGAAAACTAAGCTATTACTTAAACAGCTTGGCTAACTCAAGTTATAATTTATATATGGTTTGACTGCATCATAACTATTTATGCTATAGTTTGACTTTGGCTATAGCTTTAGTGAGCCAAGCCAAGCCATTTTAGCCTATTACATCTCTATATTTAAATTTGATTTAATTTGAAATTTCTGTATTTGAATCGAATTTGAGTTCAAATATTTGATTAAATCAAATTAAATCAAATTAAGCAACCTAATATTAAATATTAATATACTTTTTATACTATACATAATTATAAGTTTTACAAAATTAATTTAATATATTTTAAAATATAAAAAAAAAAAATTACTACAATTGATCTATAATAATGTTTATTATCTTTATTTTTAAAATTAAAGTGCAGTTTAAAATAAAAATAAAGATTGAATATAGTAGTTCAAATTTTAAATTATATAGAACTTTTAAAATTCTGAACATTTTTACTTAGTTTATCTGACCCCTGTCTTTTAGTGCATTTTTTGAAATATAGCACTCTAGATAATCATAAATTATAATGAATAATTTTCAATATAAAATTAAAAACTAAAAATGTTATCATTATTATATTAAAAATAATATATATCTAAGCACAAACAATATCTTACTTTTATTATTAAAATTTTCAATAGATTGGGTAAAAAATTGCTATAATACATCATTGTAAGCTAATACATGCACAATAATAATAATAACTATTACTTGAAACTAGATTGTAGTATTATGAAGATTGATGTTAATGTTTTTTACCAATAAATGACCCATGATACACTTTGTTGCAACAATTCCTTTGACTAAAACCTGTCTTTCATTCGGAATTCGCTCCCAAACGGGATTCACCTCTCGTGGATCCGGAAACCCACCACCGTATTTTTTATCAGACGCAAGCATAATAAATAGATCATCCTGACGTAGTCCTGCAACAGTAAGTTTTTCAACTTTTAAAAAGTAATATCGATTTTCGTAAACACACTGTGCGATTACTTTCAAAGTAACAATAGTTCCTCGTTCATGAAGTAGTCTTGCTGTTGGTATTATTGAAAGAAAAATGTAAGATCCTTCAAAACTCCATTCACGTTCTATTGCGCTTTTATATTTAGGTGGTGGATATTTAAGGCGTAATGTATTAATAGCGTCCTCAGCAAAGAAAATTCCAACATATTGAATTTTTCGAGTAGGTGCCACATATGATATTCGAAAAGGTGATGGTGAAGCAGGTTCAGGCAAACTGTTGACATAACCGTTGTGATCCCTCAACAAAGATAAAACAAATTCCCATTCTTTAAAAGGTTCGAGGAAACATTTTTCCAAAGGCAATTCTATAAAACGAGTTCGTTTCGCTCGTCCTGTATCTATTAATTTATTATCCAGGAATATTTTGAACATTGAAGAAGAGCTTAAAGAATCTTTCCATACATTTACAGACTCAATGGTAGGGTGATGTAATAAGATAGTTCCGATGAATTGCTCCTTGAATTGATTAATATTTGTAAAGACGTAGATCTTTGTTTTATACTCTTTTAGCATATTATACCTATCCAGCCCTATCTTATTGACAATCTCCGGGTTATAATACAATTGCCAATCAAGTACGTCCTTCTCTGGTACAAAACCCATTATGTCAAAAATTAAACCTTTTTTCCCTACCATACGAGTGATTACTTGATGAAATTCCGAATATTTACGTCCACTTAATAATATGGTTAAAGAGTCAGGTTCTATCATCGATTGACGCACATCACTAAGACCTTCAGAGTTCCACCAATCTGGAAGTATAGCATCCTCGCCAATATCTAGTGATCTTTTATCTTGATACCAATTTTTGTATAAAAAATGTTCTTGTGTAAGTAAATTTATGAAATCAGCGCACCATAATTGTGGATTCGGTCGAGGTGACTTAAAAAGAGCACCATCAAAGTCGAATACGTTTAATTTGATCGGTACTTGAGTTGAAGACATGCGTGAAAAAATCAAAGTTTACCCACTATCATGTGAAGACGCGTCCGTAATACAGCATCGAAAAAAGGGGACCCTTAAAAGCGGGCAGATTCACATAATGATTTACATACTGCATAAATCGTATTCTTGATATCTATATATAAATAATACATTAATTGCATCAAAAATGTAACTAACCCGACCTTAAGGATTCCTTTTAAAATATGTAAGTTTCGAGATGTATTCTATTAAAAATATAAAGTACAGTCGACTCTGGATATACCGAACCTGTTTATACCGAACTCGGGTTATAACGAACCAGTTCTGGCAGAACCGATTTTTTATAAGAATTTAGGCTGGCTATACCGAACTTTTATAGTAAATTTTTATATACCGCATCCGAACTCTTCTTTACCAGCCCAGGACTATGTGCACATATTTCGATATAACGAACTATTTGTTTTATACTAGGAACTGGAAACCAATATAAGTCTGAAGCACGTCCTTATAGGAAACTTATATAAGGACGTGTCTAATATTATATTTTATAAATTTTAAGATAATATAATAATAATTATATAAATAAGCAACTCTAACTACCTTTATTAAATTATAATTTTTACAATGTCACAATCATTACCAAATATAAAAAATTTACATGTTATATTATTTGATGAAAAAAAATGTATCAATTATTTATTTGAAAACAATATTATTAACAAAATGACAAATTGTACTTATTGTAATTCTGAGTTGTATTTTAATAACAGAATATATTAACAAAAAATTTATACTTGTAAAAATTTTAAATATTATATAACTTTTTCAATTTACAAAAATACAATTTTTTTTAATAATTATTTAAATTGTAACAATACTTTATTAATTGTTTATTTGTGGTTATATAGAATAAAATATACACAAATAAGTTTAATTACTAAGTTTTCACCAAATACAATTGTTAAATTTACTAAATTATTTCATGAATTAGCAATTAATCCAATAACTGCAGAAGACTTATATATAGAAGATAAAAAAGTTATTTTTGAAATTGATGAATCAAAATTTAAACAATTTGAATCATAGTGGATTGTAGAAGGAATCAAAAGAACTAAAAAAAAGAAATGTTTTTTTGTTGTTATAAAAGATAAAAATAAAGAAACATTACAACAAATTATTAAACAACATGTTAAAAAAGGTTCAACTATATATATAGATTTATGGCATGGTTACCAAAATCTTGAGACACTTGGATACAGACATATTCGAATTAATTATTCAAGAACTAATCAACACAATAAATAAGAAAAAATTCATACAAATACAATCGAAACAACTTGGTATATATTAAAAAGACATATATCAAAAGACAAAAAACAAAAAGAAATAATTAATAATTATCTTCTTGAATATGTTTTTAGAAACAAACATAAAAAAAATTTGTATTTAGATTTTATTAAATTGATAAAATTTTAAAAAATATATTTTATTTAATTAAATAGTACTAGTTAAATATTTTTATATTTTAATTTGCTAAGTATATTTTTGTATTCTTTTATTGATAATAACTTTAAAATTTTTAAACTTAGTTCAAATTCAAAAAAAAATATTTAATAAAAAAATTTTTATTAAATATTCTTTTAAAATATAAAGCTTATTGTTACAAATAATATTTGTTTTCTAAATATTATCATGTATTTGGTAAATCAAATTTATTAAATAAATTTAATTGTTAGTGTGTTGGTAGAATATTAAAACTAAGAAAAAATTTAAATTAAAATAATAAAAAAAGTGATTCAAGATGATCTAGAAGATAGTGTTTATTGTAAAGCAGAAATTTATTTTATAACAAAAAATAGTAGAATTACAAGATTAGTATATAAATATTATAGGCATAAGTATATTTTTATTTTAAAAGTTTTTCAAACAACTGATAATATAATTATTTTATATAAACCAAAATTTAATAAAGATTTTAATTTTTTATTAATATGTTAAATTTTATAATTATATTTTTCTAAATCAAATTAAAAAAATATTTAATACATTATAAAAATAATAAATATATTCTGTTCATTGTTCTAATGAATCCAAAATTCATCTTTCTTCTTTGATAAATTTTGGAAACATAAAAAAAAATCAAGAGAATATACAGTATATAAATATAGAAATAAAGATAGAGATAAAAATAATAAAATCATTAATATAAAATTGCTGATATAAAAAATTGCTAGTATAAATTTATCTAAAATGTCTATAAATAAAATACAAAAAGAATTTTGAATGCCTCGAAAGTTTATGATAAGTAATCACTACAAGTTGTAATTACTTATTATAAACATCTCTTTTTTTTTTTTTTTTTTTTTTTTTTTTTAACTTAAGCAGTCACGCTAGTACTTTATTAAGACTCTTGAAATTACAT